GGGGGATTGACCTAACCTAAAGCCTGAGGCCTAAGCCCTACTCCCTAAACTCCAATGCCCAAACTCTGGGGCTTGGGATCGGATGCAACGTCTCGAGGGGCTCCGTTGAGGGCTACTTGCTTAGGACCTCTGGGGTCCATTGGTTTAGGGCCTGAGGGTTTAGGAACTGGGGTTTAGGGCTCAGGGCCCCTTAAGGCTTAGGGTTGAGGGCTCAGGGTTTAGGGTTGAAGGTTTAGGATGTGTGAAATAAGTCGGCCTCAAAAGCATCTAAATTTTCAGATGTCAATGTTGTGATATTGTCGGTCTTAACTGAATCCTGAAGGGGACCTATATAAGGGGCATCTAGAATTTCCTCCTTTGACCTCCCTATTGCCTCTCTGAGGTCCCATATCCCCTCTGTATCTCCATGGATGGGGTCCCCTTTTAAGCCTTCTTTTTTCAAAGCGTTCCAGACGTCATAGATTCCGGTTGCACAGATGTCACGCTGTCCTGCCCTTCACTTCTCCCACCCTGGATCCTATGGTAGATTTGCCATGTCCTTCCTGCTTCAGGTGTGTCTTGCCAGAATTTTGGAATCCCAGAATAAAACCAAAGAGCTTAAATCCTTATGGGGAGTGGCGCAGGTCATGGTCCGTCTCCCGTATATGAACACCCGCCATTCCCCGTGCGAGATTAAATATTCCATATGTATTCCAATACACCACAACGGGCGTATGAAATTTCAGGGTGGAGTAAGGGGTTTTATTACTAGGAGAGGGCCCCAGGCCCTGCCGGCAAACCCAACAAATAGTTATTGGAGATTTGGGGTATATCATACCAGAAGTATATAAGTCGTACAAGGCCCGTGTTGATGATTTATTCAGTCTGATGCAGGGTGGGTTCAGCCGAGAGAGGGACTGTGCAAGACTGTTATCCGCACGGAGCATGTATGATTAATTCCGGTTGTGGGCACTTCTCACAGTCGCAGACACATCAAATGGCCCTAAACCCTATTGAAACAGCCTCGCAACTCCGAACTGCCGCAGAGCTCTTCTGTTTTGAAGTCGCTCCAACGATCCCAGGATACCAGTTCACACTGAGCCCTGAAAGTTACAAAATCCTCAGCCTTTGACATTTTCTGGTATGCTGCACTCACCGATATTCCGAAGGAACCCTAAATACACTCTAAACTACGGGGCACTTAGAACCCCTACTAAGGGTTAACCCTTAGGTACCCAAAATTGAAAGAAATTCTACCTAAACCCTAAACCCTAAACCCTAAACCTACTTCATACCCCACATTGAACTCCTGAAGCCTGGGGAAACCCCCATGCCTCTGAGCCTCAGGCATCCTCATCAGACTGTAAGTCTTCTGAAGCATAAGTGATGGCCTAGCGGCAGGTTTGGGGGTCTTCAAAAATTGGGGTTAGATACGGACGATGCAGGGTAAATAAATAAAAAAAAATCTCTATATATATATATATATGGACATGAGGGTTATATAAGGCTATGTGGTGGGCTTAGGATGCGGTACTCGAATTTCATATATGGGTTTCCCAGCACTTGGGCCTCTTTTCGGGATCCCGGATTCATTCAGGTGTACTTCCCAGAAAGTCCAATAGCCCCTAATTAGGGAATATGCCCTACATGGTATTAGGATCTAGATTAGGATCCCTAACATGATTTCAGCCATGTTCCTCAGTTTAGGGGTATTGGGCTCCCTGGGTTTTGGAGCCCTAAACCCTAAACCCTAAGACCCCTATTGAAGAACCCCCCCCAATCAAGGTTTAGAGCCATATGTCCGCTGCGGGTTTACTTTAGACCCCAAGACATCTTCAGTTTTAGGACCCCACAATCTGAAAATCTGATATGAGCTATAGTCTAAACTCCTAGTATCCCCCCTTCATAAGGACGATAATAGGAACCCTATACAGTCTCCTATATACCCCCGTGTAAGGAATTTAGGCCACAGCTCTAATGTAAAACCTTGAACTGAAGGTCTTCTGAGCTCTGGGTGGAAATAGGCTCAAAACTGGCCACTTCTGGTAAAGTTTCCTTGTCAGATATTACTGGGATCTTGGCCTACACCCTAGATCCTGAACCCTAAACCCTTTGCTGCTTTGTGTGGGGGAGAGTTGTGGACCTTCACTTGGACAATTCCCGAAGGGTACCCATTTTGGTACCATAAATATGTTGTGTGACAAAGGTCTCTTGAGCACCAGGTCGTTCTTGGGTTTTGCCCTCGAGGTAGGCGCGCAGTCGTATGAAAATCAATGTGCCGCAAAGAGCACGTCCCTTCACACGGAAAGCTGGCAAACCGCAACAATTGTTGAACGTGCTGGTGAGCCCAACGCCATGGGCCTGCCATTCTCCACCCCAGGAGCCTGAATGATCCGAATGTCTTTGCCTCGTGCAGCTTTGCCACAACACGACAGCCTCTTGTTGACAAGGTGTGCAGGCCCTCACAGGCTAACATGGAACCCCACAGAGACTGCTGCATTAAGGGGGGCTACGTGGAATTCCGTGTTAGTTTGGGACAGGGTCTTGAGGTTCCCTGACCCTTGCAGTGCCCCACCTGCCTCTGATCATCTACATCGTCTTGCTCTTGGCGCCATGCCCCCAACCCTAAGCGCTAAACTCTAAACCCTAAAAGCTTCAACTATTAACCCCCCAAACCCTACACCTAACCTGATATGACACCCTGCCCCTTGGCCTCCCAGTCTTGCCGAAGACCCATGAGGATCACCTCTTTATCCTCAGCCATACACTCAGAAATAGAAGGACTTGTCCTCGAATGGAGATGGGCCTCATGATTAAGGCCTTCAATTTTTTGGGAGGGCTTCTCCTTTTTGGGAAACCCCCATAGTATACTATCAGGAGATGGCATTCTCAACTATGCAGGCGTCTGCTCTAGTCCTGCATCCGAGCCAAAACTTTCAGTTCGGGCTTCAGCGTGCCTTAAAATAAAATCTCATTTTTGGTCCCCATAAGGACACATATACATTGGCCAGCATACGGTTTTCTTGCTTGTTTTAGCAATTATGGTCTGCTAGACAGACCACAAACCTTCAACCCTAATCCGAGGATCTGCTTAATTTGGGGACCCCCCCGCAAGAATAAGAATTGTGGGCGCCGGATTAGAAGAAGCTCATTCTTGGGTCATTGGGGCTCTTGGACCTCTATTAAAAAAGACCAGGAATGTATTGAATCTCTATTAAGAACTTAAAAGAAAATCATTCTTGGATCGTTGGGGCTCTTGGAGCTCTATTCAAAAGTGAATAGGAATGTATTGAATCTCTATTGACAATCCAAAGCAAAACTACTAGATAAATCTACTACTGTTAGGATGGGGTTTCCCAGAAAAGTTCATTAACTGTAGTCTCTTTTCCCCATACGAAATCCACTCTAATTGAAAGTAGTCTTTGGACCCTAATGCTATCAACAAGAATTCTGTAAATGTATTCCATTTCATTCAGCTGATCCTTGGATTACACCCGGAATCCTACTCTTGAACAGTTGCTCCCTAAGCCCCGCATCCCTTTGCCAGCAGCATGACGGGGCACTACAATAAGGGCCGATACAAGCTATATCATACGAGTCAATTAATAGCGATAAGCTTCTCTGGATGTTAGTCCCGGTTGCCAAACGTTTTTGCAGTTTTTTCAGGGAAGCCCAGTACCCCACAGAAGTACTTCTCTCCCTCTCATAACTCAACTCATAACCAACTCCCCCCCGCCGCACCCGCACCATCCTAACAACAATTCCTCCAAAATGTATTTGCACTATCTTGGGGAAAGTTCATTAATAGTCTAAACCCTCAACCCTGACCCCTAAACCCTAGACCCTAAACACCAAACCCTAAATCTATACCCTAGAAAGGGACTACAACTTGCCGAGTGCCAGGCCGACATTAACTCCTCAGCAACGTAATCCAAGGAGATCCAGTCCTCCGCAGCTTGGAGATTTAGGGATTTGGGGTTTGGGGTTTGCATTTTCGGGTTTAGGGTTCGGGGTTTAGGGTTTGGGGTTCAGGATTTGGGGTTTAGGGTTCGGGGTTTAGGGTTTGGGGTTGAGAGTTTAGGGTTTTCAGGTCTAGGGTTTGGGGTTTAGAGTTTTTATAGGGGCTGTATGGGTTTTAGGTTTAGACTTGTTCATAGGGGCTATATGGGGTTTAGGATTAGGGGTTATGCAGGGGTACATAGGAACATCAGGAAGATACCGGGCGCCAAAATGGAAAATCAAACGGACAATAGTATGGAACATGACATGGAAACTAAGACTAAAAGGTGGTTTATGGGGCCTATGGTTTTGCAGTCTTCCAACAATTAGAGGTCCTTTCTCGGGGTCCCAATGTTAAAGCTCATAGTACGCTGGGTCTATATTGGTGTCCTTCTGTTTGTAGAAGCTACCATTTAGGGATTTAAGGGGTAAGGGCCCGCGTAAGCCTTGGGGATCTGGCTTCAGCGTTTGGGGTATTTGGGGCTTGCTTGGAGGTTCAGGGTAACTATGACCCAATGAGACGCGTAATTATAACCCAATCATAAGGCCTTATAGTCGCTAATATGGTTCTCATTGGGTTATAGATTCAGTAAATATACGGGCCTCAGTAATTACCAATACATGTTTGAGGTCCATTTGAGAAACCATATACTATATTTATAGGAACCATAATATTGGTAATTATTTAGGCCCCTATACTTTCAGTCCAGGAAGTCCCCTCAGTTCCTAGACGGCGTTTTCTGGTAGGTACTCTCCAGCAGCCTCGGTTGAAATCTTGCACTCAGAACAAGAAAGCCCCTCCAACCTCAAATTTCTAAAGCTTGGGATCTTGAAGCTCCCACGCCCTAAACCAAAGTCCCAAACTCAAACTTCTGCGAACCAAGGTGGGACTAAAGCCTAAAGTCTGAAGTTGAAACCCCTGTTCCACCGCAACATCTAAGGGATCAATATCGGCATCATCTGGCGGTGTGAGAACCAGGCTGTCGGGCGGCTTAAAATGACGAGAAGACTGAGTTATGTGCGTCTTCAATGCGGCGTATGCGGAATCCAAGCAATTTGATATGCGCATTCTGTTGTCTAAGCGTCTCCTTGACTAGAGCGATCGTGCGTTCTGAATGAGATGCCATGCTGCTTCTGCCGTGATTCTGCCGCAATGCTAGGAGTCTCATGGATAGAGCGGGTGTCAGAGTTTCAAGTAAGGTTGCGGGGGTTACGCTTTAGGGCTTGAGGTTTGGGGTATACTTACTACTTCGTGCTGATTCTCTGAGTAACCATGACAAACTCCTCAGGTGTTCATAAGGATAATCTGCTCTTAAACCATAACCCCTGAACCTTAACCGCTATTCCCTAAACCCGAAATCCAATTTCCTAAGCCTTCAACCCAATTTCCTAAACCTTAACCCCAATTTACTAAATCTTTGAACTCAAACCCCAGCAAACCTTGTATAGCCCCCGATTCCATTCATCCTACAACCATTTGAATCTCAAACCTTAAACCTTCGCTATTTCGAGAAACCAATCGTCTCCTCTGCTATCGCAGCCAAAGCTACCTGCAGACAACTGGGTTGCTGTTAAGGAACTTAAATTAAGTTACCAGAATAAGGATATATGGTAGTTTCCCTAAA